GTGGGTGCCCCCCCAGCCCCGGCCCGCCAGGAGCCATTTTGCACATGCAGGCTCCCATCCTGTCCTTGGCCTCACAGTCCCCTGCTTGGGCACAGCCCCTGGGAGTAAGGACTGAGGGTGGCTGTGCCTCACACTGGGGCCATGGGGCTGGGAGAACCCCTGCGTGTTGGGATGGCATGGCCACCCCCAGCACCCCCAGCCCCCTCTGCACCCTGGCTTGACTGCCCCCATGTCCCACTGCTCACCCAGAGGCATGCCAGTGCCTGCAACCCTGCGCCAACCCAGGGCTTCGTGGGGTTTGCTGTGGGAACAAGGATGAGAAGTGGCCTGGGCACAGGCATCCACCAGCCGGGTTGCTTAAATGGAGCCTCAGCTCTGCGAGGGACCCAATGGAGCCTTCTCCCTGCTCCGTGCCAGCAGCAGGTATCATTTACAGCCCACGCTGCAATTCCTGCCCGGCTCTGCCAGCATCCCCAGGGATGGCTCCAGCCATCCTCCAGCTCCACATCGGGAAGGAGAGCTGCGGACGTGTCAGCTCTGCTCTGCCGGGCACCTCTGGCTGGGCACCTCTGCTCCGCTGGGCACCTCTGGCCCCCCAGCTCCCTCCCCCCTCCCTGGCTTTGCGCGTGCCTGGGCGTGCATAGATGTGTGCCGGGGCATGCACATGTGTGTATGGGTGTGCATATGTGTGTGTGCGGGCACGTGTTGGTGTGCCTGAGTCTCTGTGTTTTGGGTGTTCACACAATTTGTGTGTGTGCTTGGTATGGGTGTGCATACATGTGTGTGCGGGAGTGTGTTGGTGTGCCTGAGTCTCTGTGTTGCGGGTGTTCACACAATTTGTGTGTGTGCTTGTACCTGTGCACAGGTCCATGTACATTTTTTGCATGTGCATGGATGTGTTTGAGCTGGAGGTGGGTTTGCACCTGCCTGCCTGCCCTCCTGATGGCCCCGACTGGGGGAATGGGGCTGGTTATCTGGGCTCAGCTCCCAGAGCACACACAGGGGAGATGGAGGGGCCCACAGGCTGCCCAGGGCACCCATCCTGCGCCCACCACCACTGCAGGTTCGGACTGCTCCCTTGTGTGCGATGAGAGTGACCCATGCAGACAGGAGGGAGGAGCGTGCTGTGCATGTGCGTGCATTCTGTGCAGGTGCGTCTGCAATTTCTGTGCCTGTGCTCCTGTGTGCGGCAGGGGCTGTGTGTGTGTCTGCTTCATGCACTGTGTGGTGCTGTGTGCAGTGGGGTGTGTGCAGCTGTGGTGCACGGTCATGCGAGTGTGTGACCTGTGGGGTGTGTGCACATGAAGTATCACGTGTGTGCATGCAGGGCAGTGTGTTTGTGTGGAGTATGCGTGTGCCTGGTACAGTGTGTGCTCATGCGTGCACACGGATGCGTGTATGCATGGGGCATAGCATGTGCGCCAGTGTGTATGTTTGCACACCGGTACGAATGCAGACATGCACTGTGTGTGCCCATGCTTGCACAGCGATGCATGTGTGCATATGGCGCATGTGTGTGCACGCAGCACGGCCCATGGGCATTCCCACAGCAAGATGTGAGCACACAGTGCGTGTGCATGCATGGTGCTCCCATGCCCACATCTGCCCACAGCGTGTGGATGCCCAAGTGTGCCCGCAGCATGCACACATGTAGCTCTGTGTGTGCCCATGGTGATGCGTGTCTGGGCATGGTGTGTGTCTGCATGTGTGGTTGGGTGGGCATGCCTGCACACCCGTTCTCTGTGCATGAGCCTGTGGGCACCCTGCGGTGCGTGTGTGTGCTCAGGGTGTGTGCGGGTGTCTGTGGGCACCCTGCGGTGCGTGTGTGTGCCCAGGGTGTGTGCGGGTGTCTGTGGGCACCCTGGGGTGCGTGTGTGTGCCCAGGGTGTGTGTGGGTGTCTGTGGGCACCCTGGGCTGACTGTGTGTGGATGCCTGCATGCCCCAGCACATGCACTGTGTGGTGCTGTGTGGTGTGTGCAGCTGTGGTGCACGGTCATGCAAGTGTGTGACCTGTGGGGGTGTGTGCACATGAAGTATCACGTGTGTGCATGCAGGGCAGTGTGTTTGTGTGGCAGAGTGTGTGTACCTGGTACAGCGTGTGGTCGTGTGTGCACATGGATGCGTGTATGCATGGGGCATTGCATGTGTGAGCCCACATGTGCCCGGGGTGTGTGCATGAGCCTGTGTGCACCCTGGGGTGTGTGCATGAGCCCGTGTGTGCCTGGCGTGTGTGCGGGTGCGTGTGGACCCCACTGTGCGTGTGTGAGCCTGTGTGTGTCCGGGGGGTGTACATGAGCCCATGTGCACCCTGGGGTACACATGGGGGGTGAGCCCATGTGCTTCAGTATGCAAGCGTGTGTGCGGATGCCTGTGTGCCCCAGCATGTGTGGGTGCCCGTGTGCACCCTGGGGTGTGTGTACCCTGAGGTGCCCGTGTGTGCCCAGGGGGTTTGGGGGTGTCCGTGCACCCTGGGGTGTGTGTGCGAGCCTGCGTGTGCCAGGGATGTGTGCAGGTGCCTGTGTGCACCCTGGGGTGCGTGTCTGTGCCTGGGGGTGTGCGTGAGCCCATGTGCACCCTGGGGTGCGTGTCTGTGCCCAGGGGGTGTGCGTGAGCCC